TATATTATATTACATTATATTATATTATATTATATTATATGTATGTGTATACTTACTGTTTGCAGCGACTGGGAGGGGTTCATTGAAGAAATGTGGGGTGCAGGAGTTCGGGCTGGCGGCTCGTGGATTCGGCGGGTTCAGAGCTTGAGGTCCACCGGAAACTCAAATCCCTACGCGCCTAACCCTATGTAAGGGCCTCGATAATTAGAATAAGGATGTTATACTTATACTATAATTGTCTAAGCTCTAAACACCTACCCCCCAAAACCCTAAACTTTAGGCCCTAAACCGAAACTAACATCCAGAAAAATCCCAACAAAGCTGGATCGTGAACCCCTCAACCCGACCGCAGGGCCTAAATTACAACAAGGTTTCGGTGCGTTCGCTGCTTTTTTAAGTGCAATGGACCCTTTCTGCGAAATGATCCAGCCAAGGTCGGCTTACACTAAAATCAGAGCTGCCCTTATTTTGGGTTTAGGGTTTAGTAATTGGCTACATACGAAAAGGGAAACCCCGACTCTGAGGGTTAACAATATAACATTTGCGAACCTTATACTAGCCGCAACCTAAACCCTGTACCAATATTAAACCCTATACTGAATACTGACCTGAACCCTAAACCCTGCAGAAATATTAACCATAAACCGATACTAACTTAACCCTCAACCCTCCCAGGTTTGGCATTCAGCAGGAACGAATTCGGCAACAGCAACATTGGCTGCACGAGCTACCGCTTCGTTGGCCGTGTGGTCAGCACACAGAGCCTAAACCCTGAACCCTGTACACTAAAGACTAACCCTATACACTAAACCCTACACCCTAAACCCTATACACTAAACCCTAAACCCCATACACTAAACCCTAAGCCATCCTAAACCCTAACCCCTTCAAAGCAGGCCGCAAAGCTTCGCCCCGCACCCCTCAGCGGTGTTAGCAACCGCTGAGTGGGCGCATCGAGCTGTTCAAAACCCAAGCCCAGGAAAAGCCGCATTCTCGCTGCTGAAACAGGGTTTAAGGTTTAGGGGTTTAGGGTTTGGGGCGGCTTTAGATGGGTGCTACAAAGGTTTTGCTGTAAGGGCTCTACAACATAGTCTCGAATGGCTTAGGGTTTAGGGCTTGCCTACACTGTTGAATACTGCTGCAAGCCATAAACAAAACAAGAAGAGTATGCTTAAAGTTTAAAGCCCCATTGGATTTTTAGTCTCACAATAGGCATGAGAAAACATTCCTCGCGGCGTGAAAAAAAGCAATAGTAGGGTTTGGGGTTAGACTACATATTTGAGCAAAAACACCATGGGACCCTGAACCCAAAGCCCCATACTCTAAACCTAAAGCCCAAACCTACTCTAGACTCTAAACCTAAAGCCCAAAGCCTTCAGCAAAAAAAACATTGTGCCATACTCTAAACCTAAACCCTAAACCCTAAACCCTAAACCCAAAACCCAAAACCCAAAACCCAAAACCCTAAACCCTAAACCCTAAACCCCTTCGACTTTACAGAAAAGAGGCTTTTGCCGGGCTGAAACCGGTGGGCACAGCTTGGTCTCGACCGGCCAAGCAGAGTTTCATGGGACCCCGAGGCTCTGAGGACTCTCTACTTAAAGGATCCTGGGACTTCGTAACTAGGGTTATAAGTACCTCAATTGGGGTTATAAGTAATTATAAGTACAGTTACCTTAATTCATAGGGATCCTTAGGGGTGTAGGGGGGGGTAGGGGGCCTTAAGGCCCATAATAAGGACTAGTAAGGCCTATTTAAGGAAATATAGGGGACTAGGCTCTAGAGTACTTGGGGATACCCAGTAACCTAAGAAAAAATAGGCCTCTCTTTTTGGTATTGGGTAACTTTATAAGGAACCTAGGACTACAAAAAGGGAATAAGGGTACTACTGGGCATCCTAGTAGAGTACTTGGGGCTTCGGCGGTTTCGGGTTTAGGGACTAGGGGTTTAGGGTTTGGGGGTTTAGGTGTTTAGGGGTTTAGGGGTTAGGGTTTAGGGTTTAGGGTTAAGGGATTTAGGGTTTAGGGGTTTAGGGTTTAGGCGGTTTAGGATCTAGGGCATTGATGTTTTGGGTTGGCATTTTGGAGCGTGGCTGTGTCGTTCTTGCTGTTGCTTCTTCGAAGACCGTGTTGCAGGGCTCATGGCTTTAACATTTGAACATTCAGGGTTGGGACTCAGCTTAGGGTGTTCAGGGTACTTGGGCTTTAAGGCTTCAGGGCTTGAGGCCTATAGTTTTCAAGGGTATAGTAAGGCTTCAGGAGATTGGAGCTCCAAGTGTTATGGTGAAGGGGCCTTGATGATTCGAGTGGCGTTCTTGGCGTATGCTTCGTATACCCAGACAACTGTATAGGGAGCAGCAGGGAATACACTAGCTAACCATTCCCACCCCTATATAGGTAGTTCTCTACATTAGGGGCCCTGTTTGGGTCCAGCTCGAAACAGGCACCCCGAACGGGTGCCAAGTTTAGCGAACTACCCATATATTGTTTGGTATGAGTATAACATAGGGGCCTTAATAAGTAGAATAAGGTTGTGGGGCGCATTATGCATCATTATACGATACGTATAAGAAGGAACCCCGAACATCGTATAGGTAAAGAAAACAGGCCCCTAAATTAGAGTACCCGTATAGATCCCTTATAGTAACCCTAAATTAGAGTACCCGTATAGATCCCTTATAGTAACCCTTATAGGACCGTTTCTCGTATTTAAGGTACCCCCAGTATAGTATAGGTAAAGAAAAAGGGCCCCTTTGGTAGAGCTTCAAGGGCTGCAAACCATGCTTTCGGTAGGGTTGAGCGCGTAGGGTTGAGAGTTTAAGGTTTAGGGTGTAGAGTTTATTATGTGTATGTGTAGGGTTTAAGGTTTATGGTTGCTACAAGAGTAGGGAGTAGAGTTTACTATGTGTATGTGTAGGGTTTTAAGGTTTATGGTTACTACAAGAGTAGGGGGTAGAGTTTATTATGTGTTTGTGTAGGGTTTACTACGGTTGCTACAAGAGTAGGGAGTAGAGTTTATTATGTGTATGTGTAGGGGTTTAAGGCTTATGGTTACTACAAGAGTAGGGAAAGGCTTATAAGGGTTCTACGAGTGTTCTCTCAGGGCTGCAGGGTTTTGTGAGGCTGTGCAAGGTTTTACTACAAGGCATGAACAACTAGAATGAGTTTTCAGGGTACATCAATACAACTCAATAGGGGTACGTGTTACTAATGTAGACCCTTGATTCATACCCCCCTTAAGGAGCGTGAAGATTGGGATCGATCTTGGGGCCTACATTAATTGTTCAGACCTCGATGTCATGTTGCTTTGAGCCTTGGGGGGGGGACAAGGACAACCGAGTCTATTTTTCAACACTGCATCTGAGCTTCTCAAAATCTCGGGAAGGCAGATTTCTTTCGCCTCGAGGTTAAGTTTGTGGCTCCTTGGTTTAGTGTATACCTTAACCTACCAAAACCTACTTTTTTGTAGGGCCCCTATAAACTCCCTATTAGGGTTTAGAATAGGAACCTACAAAAAAAAGTAGGGTTTGGTAGTTTAGTGTATAGGGCCGGGGGGTTAGGCTTCGGAAGCGTTAGAACCAACTGACCAAGGGTCTAGGGTGCATGGGTCCCGACTGTCTGATGGAGAATTTGGGTCTACTACAGCCTAAACCCAAAGCCCTAGCGGGTTTAGGGTTTAGGGTGTAGGGTTTAGGGTCCTGGTGTTTATGCCCACCACTAGGGCGAAGAATTGGGCCCTCTCTTTTGAGAAACTCCAACAGCGGCGGAGCCACGGATCACAGTAAACCCTCTGGCTAGGGTTTGGGGCTTCGAGCTGCTTAGGGACTTCACGATACGTGCAGCATGAAATTACGGTCTTAGGTTTAGGGCATCCGAGAAGAATTCCAAAAACTTGAGATAGGGTCCTGAATCAGTAGATTAGGGTATAAAGAATGCATTACATTACACTGGTATGGGGACCGCCAGGGTGTTTCTAGCTCTTCATAAGGGGTTTGGATCGTGTTGGGCTCCTGTGTTGCTGAAACATGCCATGCAGACTCCTCGCGGCAGCTTAATTCCGATGCACCAGGCCCAGAGCCCTCAACCCTGAATCTCCGGAAGGAGCCTTTGGTCTGCAACAGCCCTAAACCCCTAAAGCCCTAAAGCCCTAAAACCCTTAAAACCCCTAAACTCTACTGTCATTGCACGTAGCCCTTACCCACTTTGCCCGAGCCCTAGAACACCCTAAAAATTGTAGGTTTTAAGGTCCAGTCCTGAATTCCGGGCCTGGCCTTAGTACCCTAAACCCTCAAGGGGCCGCCGTAGCAATTGGAACAGGGCTATGGGGCACATTGGCATAATTACTGAGCCGCTTACATAGGGACTAAACAAGAGTTTTATTGCCAACTACCCTAGCCTCTATACTGAGCCGAAAACCCTAAGGTAGCGCCCTCCCCCACCCCATTGCAACATCCCCGTAGCCACCCCCAAACCTTGACTCTCGTCTTACGAATCCAAGCAAAAATCAATACTAAACCCTAAACTCTAAACCCTAAACAGAAAGAAGAATTAAGCTGCACAGGAGGGACGATTTGCTGTCCAGCGCTTTCTTTGGCACGCCGGTGCAGTGAAAACTCAGACTCGTAGGTTCACATTTTACCCAGAAGCCGCATAATGGAGACTTCATATGAAGCTTTGGAAACAGGTACTACGTACTCTCTACGAGCACCCGGGAGACGCTTGAAATCTTCAAGAGGGCTTCGGGTTCATGGCCTCAGGATTCATGGTTCTTTTTTTTTTTTTAAAGTGTATTGGCTCTTTATCCACTCCGCAGGAGCAGGTCTCGGGCCCGCCATGGTCGGCTTACACTACAAAGCAACTCTCAGACAGTCACCCTCATTGATGTCCGGGCCACAATCTGAAGAAGAAAAGAAAGCGAAGATGCACATCATGAATCTCGGCTACGACTTCTGTCACGTACACGGTCTCCTCTTCGACGGCGAGACTCACCCCATGGACGACTTACCCGACGACGTACAGCCCGGCGACGAAAATGTAGAGCACGAGGTCGACGAAGTGGGACAGGAAGATGAGCAGCTTGTCCACGACGGGGTTCATGAAGACTTTCAGCAGCATCAACAAAGCGAGGAGGAGGTCGTCGAATGCGATGACGTCTTCTTCCCACAGTCGAACCTCCAGGTACTCCACCAAAAGTAGCAGATCCAGGTGCATTGCTGGCAACACCAAGCATCGGTGACATAGGGACATCCTCAGGCCAGTTGGGGATGCCTGCACTCTCATCCTGCTGCACTAAGTAGAGTGTCTCGTTATTCTCAGATGGCCAATTGCCTTCAGGAGCTGCCAAAGCTTGTTCCACATAGAGCCTTCTGCTATGGACTCTCCAGGCACGACGACGATATCCAACAATCGTGTTTGGCGCCGTCCCTGGGAACATCGCAAGCATCGCCTCCACTGACATAGGGAACCCAGGCGTGAGGAGTGCCGAAGGGGCCGACACAGTCGTGTTCATAGAGGTGGTGGTAGGTCCAGAGCCGAATTCAGCCTGATGAAGAATCGTTGACCAGATGGCTTGCTCGTAAGTGGCAGCATTGAGTGGTACAGCTGGAAGTGGGATCTGAATCCAGTTGAGTGCCTCTTCAATGGCATCCTCCAGTAGACGTTGTCGGTGGCGTCCTCGTCGAAGATGCACAAGGAGGCGTCGAACAAGCTCAACCACATCTACACTCCCACCGTGGATGAGGTTGACATTCACCACGTCTCGGACCACGTCAGACGGCCAGGTTATGCCCAGGGATGATGAGCTTGTCGTCGTCGTCGAAGAGGAAGTCAACACACTGAGATTTTGCAAATCATCCCAAGATTCCATCATCCCGAACATTCCCCAACCAGAGAATATCATCGGATTCAGTGAGGCAGACCACGACCATGAGGAAAACGTAGTCATTGTCGAACTTGCAGAGGTGGAAGACCAGGAAGTCGTGCTCGTGGACGTTGTGGAGGAGATGTCCTCTGCAGGTGCAATGCCCGCATCATCAAGTGGAAAAGCACCAATGCCGCCAGCAGAGTTCTCCGGGTCTTCGTCATGCATGGTGTCACTATGGGAGGAGGATGCTTCCACAGGCTCACGCCATATTCCTTGCAGTTCATCCGTCGGGAGGTTGACTGGCATGGGAGGGGGAGGGCCAAAGGGGCCATGTGTGGGCGATCTTGGCGGTACCCAAACCAATTCTCCCTGCGAATTCGCAGCCCACTCACTGTTCATCGACGGCACATGTACACTAGTCCCCGTCGGACTTCGGGATCTGGTTCGCCTGTCCCTCCGCCGAGAGGCACGTCTGCGCGAAGAAGAGCGCCTCCCCGAAGTTGAAGAACTGGCTGCCTCCGTCCCTCTAGAAGAGCGCGCCCCCTCACTTGACGGGAGACTTACCTGCTCCGGTGAGGATGCTGGCATAGAAGGTGTGCCTTCAGTATCAGCTGGTTGTAGGCGTACTGACAGATGGCGTTCAAGTGTAGTGGTGAAAAGCTCAACGTAGTTCTGGATCCAATTGAAAAGTCTCCATCTTTGCTGTTCTTCCCGAGGTACACGGCGAATAGGGAGAAAGCCTCGGGGGACCAGTCGTCGGGTGATCACCTCATAAAGGGCTTCCAGAGCCTCCATCCCGTCAATGAGGCGATGACGAAGACATCCTAAAGCCCATCTGCCTTCTGGGCCCTGATCTTGTTCTTGCATACGATCCAATATCTGGAAGAGGTTCTCAACGCGCTGGACCATGTTTGCAGGAACGCCACGCTCCTCAAGGCGACGGCGCTCAGCTCCCGTGAGTTGCATCAGCATCGTCTCCTCGAACTCGGGTAGAGGTCGCCCCGTGAGAAGGGAGACTGTGGCAGGCCTGACTTCTGGGAAGAGCCCTGCATTTGGGAGTGGTGTGCTCATCTCCTCCTCATCGTCCTCGTCAGTCACTTCTCCCCCAGGAGAGGCAGTGGTGGTAGACGTTGTAGTTCCACATGTGCAGATTGAAGGTAAGGGGCTGCGCATCCACGTCGTAGAACAACATCCCATAGCGGCATTGTTGTGATTCTCAGCGGGGAACCATTCATGTGGAATGTCGTCCTGCCAGGCTTCGTTTGCCACCCACGTGGTAGAGCTCGTCGTCCAACCAGACCATGATGAAGAGGAATTCCACGGAGATGTAGACCACGAGGAACCAGGAGACGAGGAAGAGGAACCATGCCAGGATGTGCATGTCGAATTCCCAGTCCAGTTCCACGATGTAGCATTCCCAACCCAACTCCAAGATGTCCATGTGGTCCACTCCTCAGGTTGCCACTCCCACGTATCTTCACCCACATGCTCTACTGTAGGCTCTTCCTCCAAGATGGGTGGGTCAGCAGGTTCGTTTCGATGCCACCAACTGGCATTTTCCGTCACTGTCTCCACTGTCACAGGCGTGGTCTCAGGCAAGGCAGGCGCAACATCTCCATGTGGTTCGTCATCAATACCAGGTGGGGCTGGAGTCTCCTGGCATGTCTGTTCTTGCAGGCGGGTGCGCGCTTCCTTTTCTTTAACATAGGCATTGAGCCAAGCAGGCCGCCACGCACCAGCGAAGTATTCCCGCATGCGTCTTTGCTGCTTGAGCCATCGCTGCATCCCTCCGCCTCCCACATGTGCTCTCCGCTCCGCCTCCGTTCTAGGGCGAGGCACCCATTTGCCATGTTTCCAAAAGCCGACCTCATGTGAGGAGCCAGCGGCATCGGTTGAGGATGCAGGGCCCGAGTCGTCGTCAACATTGGCCGTATCTGTTGTGGTGTTCATCTCAGCGGTGCTCACCTCCGTGTTTGCATCCTCACCCGCAGTCGTGGCGTTGTCATGGGCGGCACCTAGACCACTGGACCACACCTCGAAGGTCTCCCCATAGAACGACTTGGCGACGACTACTGGGCCATCTTCCCTCTCCTCCGCACCCATCACGGCCCATTTTCCTCAATGGTTTCCTCAATGGTTTGAAGACGAGCTTGTTCTTCACGAAGTCGTCGTTCCCGTAGTCGATTGTGCACTGAACCATTGGCATGGTGCCATCTGTCTCTGCCTGGACGAACCTTGTGAAAACGTCGGGCGATGCCCTCATCATCCACATCGCCAGCAACTTCATCATGAGGAGAAGAAGAAGCAGAGGTACTGGAGATCCACGTGCATCCCCATGGATCATCCCGATCATCGAGAGCATGCACTGTAGCATCCATAGCAGGTGAGGTAGAAGGTGGGCTCCAGGGCGATGTGGATGAAGACGAGGCCGAAGAAGAACACCACGTAGACGTCGGCAGGGATGAGGTCGGAGGTGTCGTTGAGGAAGCACTCGAGGTAGGGTGCAGCTCATCACCACCAGATCCATCTGGGGTATTCGTCGGAATCAGTAGGCTGCGAGGATCACGACCAGGTTGATTCCACCCTCTCAGTGCACGTCCATCTCTGAGATTGTCGAAGACCAGCGCCCAGTCAACAGCAGGTTGCTCAACTCCTCCAGGAAGGAAAGGAACAGGGAGCATCTCCGGATGAGGGGCTGAGGAGGCATGTTCAAAAGCAACCTCTTCCTCCGCAAAAGTCTCGATTTGAAGAGAGGCCGAAACATTCTCATCCCAAGCAGCCGCCATGAAGTGTATGTACTGTTCGTGGGTCCACGGAGGGTGCGAGGATGTAGGCATCGGTGTCTGTGGGGTCTCCGAACACAGACACGAGGAGCCCGTCGCCGACGTGTTCTCCGGATCATCCATTTCTGTCTCCCACACAACTCCCAGCACCAGGTAAGGCAGCGCCAGCACACGGAGGAGCAACATGTTGACGAAGGAGTTCACGGGGCAGGAGGGCCACAAAGAAAATCTTCCTCGAACAGAAGCAAGGCTGCGAGCAAGAACGAGCATAGTGCAAACCGAATCATGACATGCATCTCTTTCCACTGTCTGACACCAGATCACAATCACGAAGGCAGTGACACTGAGGTTCGAAAGGTTAAATGAGTGCTGTAAGCATGCGTTCAATCACAATCAAGTGTTCATTCTCCCACCCAACTGCATCCCAAGTCCACTCAGTATGTGGCACAACTTCACTCGGACTATCAGGGCGGTTGGTCGAAGTTTTAGTAACGAAGGGCAAGCTGACGTCCTTGGGTCCAGCGGACGTCCCACTGTGAGACATAGAGTTGACGTGATGCACTCCATGCAATTCTGTCTTGTGCCAGAACGTGCCAGAGCGCACCATGGGTGTCGGCAAGCTGTCGCTCTGTGCAGGCAGCATAAAATCTAGCCGGATGCCTCATGCCACATGTAGGTGTGAGGGATTGTTGATATCTCCACCAGTGCGTACATCTCCAAAGAAGTGCACGAAAAGGTGGACACACCGAGGGAGGCCGAGAGGGGGTCCTAGGCTCAACATGACGCGCCCAATGGCCATGGAGAGTGTGCTGAAGAGTCAAGATCTTTGCGCTCCATCTTGGTATGCCATTGTTGTGCAGCCAGCAGCGGCAGAATCGAAGCGTGCGGCTATTCCAGGTGACCCAGTTCTCACCTTGAGAACGTTTAAGACGAAAGGCTCTGCGGACAAGATGGAGTTGTACGACATTGGCTGCATGTAGGTCATCTCCGCTCCAATAGAGCGCGCCTGCAGTCCAGGACCACTGGGATTCAACAAGACAGCGGATCATGTCAATCTTCTTCGCCCAAGGTCCACTGGCACATAGAATGTCCTGATGCTTGGCAGCCGCACCCCTTGCTCGACCCAAGAGTTCCTGAGCTTGTTGGGACGGTCCGGCCGTGAAAGAGAAGTCAAGTCCCAAGACCTTGAGCGAGTCATCTGGTGCAGCAATCTCAAACATGTCCTCCCCAACACTGGCACGACGAGGGCCACCATAGTCAGGACTGGCAACTATCTTCGTCTTGGAGGTGGCCAAATGCAATCCAGCCGTTCCCAAGCATTTGTTGATCACCCGAATCCTCCGAATCAAACGGCCTAAGTCAGACTCAAGAACAAAGATATCATCCTGGTAGAAGAGTAAGTCAATGTCAATGTCAGGGGCGCACCGAGGTAGTTTACGCCACTGACTGCACTCGACCAATTCCGAGAGGAGGGAGTCGATCAGGAGCCCAAAAACTTCGGCGCTTTCGGGAGCACCTTGTTTAATCCCGTTATTAGGCTCCAGAGCAATCAGGTCTCCCCCAGGAACAGCTCCTTGCAGTCTGTGAGTGCGAAGCTCTCCAAGAAGATATCTAAGTTCATGGCTCAAGTTCTTCCCGTGCATTCTGGTGCGAAGCAGCTGGGCCACTTTCCGACGGTCGACCTTGTCAAAGGCACCTGCAACGTCCAGCTTGCATAAAAGACAAGGAAGCCTCCATTCGCGGATCACATCACGAGCTCTGCAGACACTTCCGATCAAGTCTGCTGCTTGGCGACCTTTCCCACATGTGGAGATAGGTGATCCGGTTCGCAGAGACGGTAAGGCACGACTACAGACAAGGCGATTGACCAACTTGTTGAATGCACTACTGACACAGATGGGCCGTAGTTCGGAAGGTTTGCAAGGACAGTCACACTTCGCAAGCAATGCCAGGAAGCTTTCACGCCAAATATCCGGGGTCTCTCCAGTCCGAATGATGTGATTCACCAGAGCAACAAACTGAGGGGCAAGGGTGTCATGGCTTGAAATCTCCCTCAATAGGTGCACACTGATCCCATCAGGCCCAATAGAGCTTCGGCATCTCATCTGTTGAAGTTCAACGCGGATGTCAAGGATGGTGAACTCCAGAAACTCTCCCTCAATGGTCACGTCCTTGATGGTCTGTGCAAGTTCAACATCCCAGTTTGTTCTACTCGGATCAACCATCTTCTTCTCAAGATGTTCACGTACTTCTCTCGTGAGTGTGGAACTGGCCTTGTCCTGCAGCAAGTTGCCCCACCAGCCTCGACGTCGTTTTTTCTCGTTCTGAAGCTGTCTAAACTCATCCCAGGATCCGACCAGAATGCGACTCAGGCGTTTATCCTCCCAATCACGTCGCGCTCTTCTGCGAAGACGGTGTGCACGTTTCCAGGAGGCCATGTCATTCGTCCTGCGAGCTTCTTTGACCGTGTCCTTGATCTCCGCTGAGTCCTTGTACGCCTGGCTCCGACGGGGTCGGGTACAGGTGCGGGCAAGCTCAGTGATGTCAGTGTCGTCGACGAGAGTGGCATCGGGGAGCTCAGTATTCACCCATCTAGCCCGCGAGTCATTGCCCCAGATCCGAGAGGACCCTTTGCCCTGGCGGAAGAGCTCACAGTGTAGAATTGCATGATCGGTATTGATGGAGAAGCGACGATCAGGCTCAATGGTGAGGGGTGGAGGGCACAAGCCACGTGTGAAGATCATATCAATCTGTCTTCCCGAGCGAGTTTCATCTCTGGGGAAGTGAGTTGCAGTTCGGGCCTGGGAGGAGCAGGGTGCAAGTGCATTACACCCATGCTTAGTAGCCTCACTCGCAAGGACGTTGAGGTTTGTCGACGAGTGTCCAAGGACAAGGAGAGCATCTTGGTCATCCCCTGCTTTCTCATCTTCAACAATCCAGGACGGAACTTCATTGGCATCAACTCCACAGAGCAGAGGATACTATTTAGTGGGCAACTTGTGGAAGAAGTCTGAGACTCCTGCTTGATACTCAAGATTGGTCACGCCGGTCGGAGCATGCAAGGAGCCACACACAACTCTCCCCAGGCCCACAAGACGAGCAAGAACCCAGATCCCTCGCTTTGTGTGAACTTTATGGATGATGCTATCGAAGATCTCATTCGCGAAGCCAATTCCAACACCTCTCCATTGATCACGATCACGGTGTGTCACCCAGTGGAAGGCAGTCGTATCAACTCCATCCCAGCCAACTTTCCCTTTCGCAATTTCCTGCACAAACAAGATGCTTGCATCAGCCGCAACAAGGTCCAAGGGAATCAAGGGTTGCCCAGCGAGGTTCCACTGAGCCACTCTACCCCAGCGATAACGAGAGCATCGTGAGGAAACACTCCGCCAAGCTGAAAGAGTTCGTCCCTTTGGGAGGCCAGCATATTCGCTCCTGCCATCAAACTCTCCCGGCAAATTCTCCTGAGTGAAACAAAATCCATCGTCGGCGGATCACAACTCCCGCTCCAAGGCTGATTTAGCCTCGTCTGGAGAGCATCCCGCCGTAGCAGCCAAAGCCCGAAGGTCCACCCAACCTCCCGAAAGAAGCACCGTCTCACTGTCTCTTGGTGCCTTGTGTGTTGCGCTTGCGAGCTTGTGTTGCCCGCACCACACTGTTCCCATGTTCCAATCGCAGTCATATGCCGAGAACTGTGTGTTGAGGAGGTTCAAAATTCCTCCCTCAGCATTCTTGGTGCCCATAGCGAGATCACATGCAACTCGACGAACCTGAGAAACCAAGGTGCTCCGGAGTCGTGCATTCTTCGTTTTCACAAAACTCGCCCACATCGTCTTTGGCGCTCCAAACTCTTTCGTGCTGGGCAACTCAACCTTGGTGGCAGAGAAGAGTTTGATGACTTCCCACATGCGTGTGCGAAGTTCCTGAGGTCCTTCACCATCCCGTAGATGGAATTTCAGCATACCGACAGACCGACGGGGCCCATAGATAGCCAAGGAGTCGACATCAAGGAGCTTTTTCATCCCTTCAGTCGCAAGGAAGGCCGCACTCTCCTGCTCAATGATGGACCTTTTAGTGTCTCGTGCCCAGCCACCGACAACTAACGTTCGCTTCTCCTCCTCAGAGAGAACATCTCCCGAACGGCCACTGGACGAAGCAGGTTCAGCACCATCTGTAACTCCTCCAGGAACCCCTCCGGTCACATCTTTGGGATTTCGCTGTTGCAAGTACGAAGCCCAGGGATCAGAGGGAGGAGCAGCGGCGAAACCCTTCGAGGCTGGGCCGATACCATTCGCCTTGATCTCGCCAAGCTGTACCTTCATGTTCTTTACCTCTTCAGCCAGGTCATCAACCCTCTTACTGGTAGTCTCTTGTGTGCGTTGTATGGCAGCTCCTGTTTTCTCGACAGCGGCAGTCCGGGTTCGGATGTTGATCATCTCATGGCTCTGCTGGACCTGGACACTTTCACATTGGTCAAGTCTCCCTTGGAAGGTCCTCCACGCCTCCTTCATCTCTTTGACATGACCAAACAGGAGTTCTTTGATGTCACGGCTACTTAGTGGAGCATCATCCCCATGTAGTGCACGCTTCGAGGGACTATCCAACTCAGACTCACCTTCTTCACTGTCATCCACAGGAACGCAGGCGGCGGCAGCAGCAGCAGGATCACCTCGACAACGACGGCGGACATCACGTTCCCGTTTTCTCTTCTCCTGCTTCACCTCAACCTCCATAGCAGGTGGCTTAATGTCCTCCTCAGACTCTGCAATCTCTGTTGGGGATCCCTTCGCATCACCATCTTCACCTTGTTCACCTTCTTGGTCACATTGCATTGGCTCGGGGACCTTGGTCGTCATGGCGAGAAGAAGAAGACACCGTGCAGGAAGGAAAGGAATAAAGAATACGCAGAGTGCTCCAAGTGGAAGAGCCCAAAGGTGTAGAAGGAGGGGAAGTCAAAGAAGAGGAAGAAATGGAAGAGCCCGACTTCGTCGACCAGGCAGAAGTTACAGAGCAAGCTCACCCCGCTGTGTATGTATGACAGCACCACTTCCAGCAGCAGAGGGTCTCCCCTTTCAACACTCCCAGCTGCGAGAACGACCTCCTCAATGCCAGCAGCAAGTCAGACAAAGACTCCCACGATCTCCTCCCACAAAGGCACCAACAACAGCAACGTTCGGGTAGTAGGGCTCGTCGAAGTGGCCGCCGGATCATGAGGTCCCTAATGATGCCACAATTCAACGAACTGGTAGGCAGAGATGAGGAACTGGCCGCCGAGGTGCCGAGAAGGATGCAAGGCAGGCTGAGGACAGGACAGGGGCTTGAAGACACATAAAACCAGGATTCGGGCCAACAGCTTGAGCCATAGCCAAGGATTCATGGTTCAGGGCTTGGGGTTCATGGTTCAGAGTTCACGGCGCAGGGTATAGGGTTTATAGGGTTCAGGAGCCCCAAATCCTATTGTAATTATGAAGGCCCCAATATCATCGGCTTTCGTAGAGGATTACGGGCTTCTGTTGAAAGCTACGGCTCGCTGCCCATGCTCGCCAGCACGCCTTCGTCGGCGCCAGCGTCGATGGCGGCATGCGTGGCGGAATCGTCTCCTGGGTTGATAAATCTACTTAAAGGATCATGGGACTTAGTCACTAGGGTTACACTTAATGTAACTGTACTTATAATTGCTTAAAACCCCAATTAAGGTACTTATAACCCTACTTACTAAGTCCCATGATCCTCCAAGTAAACTCATGCGTGTATATAACCGTGTAGTACTGGCTTTGTCGAGTGTGCACACATAAGAACAACCCTGAACCCAGAAAGCCCTACACCCTCAGCCCAACAAACCCACGAAAATACTGAGCCCCAAACTCCACTATCAAAAACTTCCTAAACCTTATAAAACCCTTACTGGGGCCTGTTAGGAAGGAACAGCACAAGAACAGGCTCTTTTTCGGGGCTCCCCTGTGCAACTGCTACAAAAACCCAAACCTTCCCAAAACGGAAAACTCCAAAACGAGGCCCTCCCGACAGTTTTCGGGTTTAGGGTTTGAACCCTACATCCTAAAACCCTAAACTCTACACCCTAAACCCCGAAAGCTTTTGGCCTTGAGGTAGTGGTCGGTTGGAGTCTGCTTACTGCAGCCGCTGGAGCGTGGGCTTAGGCATTAGGAGGGTTAGGCTTGGGTACTGCCCCGACACAGTAACAATCCAAAATAGGGCTACTGTTAAGGTCCTACTGTGTCTATATTAAGAATATTATCCAACTAGGAAGTGGGGCCTTTCGGCTTTAGGACGAGTGGCTTAGGGTTTCGGGTTTAGGGTTTAGGGTAGAAGCGGCTTAGGGTTTCGGGTTGAGGGGCTGGCACAAGAAAAGTATTTACGGGAAAAGGAGGGACCCTTAATGGGGACCCCTACCCTATGATGGTCTATATAATGGGTATATAATAGCTATATTAAGGGTATTTACCTAGGGGTCCTTGTTAAGGGTCCCTCCTTTTACCCTAGGAAAGTAGAGCACAGACTTTCGAACAAGTGACTCAAACTATCAAGCACAAGCTGGCATCGCTTGTTGGTCTGGACGTAAGAGTAACCTAGGAATGAGAAGGGTGCCCTTTGTGGCTTTAAGGGGGGTCATGAGGGAACCTAAACCCTACAAAAGGGAATAAGGGCCTACTCTGGGTCCTGGTGGTTTATCCAGACCTTCCAAAATCTCTTAACTAAGGACTACACCTTAAATTATAATAGGGTCCCTAATATGATTTGAGGTATATTGCTTAATTAAGGGATTTTGGAAGGTCTGGGTATCGTTGGGGACAGGACCGGCAACCTACACACCAAACTTCTCTCAAAACCCATGTCCCAGGCCCTTTAAAAAGCCCTAGGCCACCAACATCTCTGAATCATAGACCACGGAAGCCCCTCAAACCCGAAACTCCTAAAGCTCGAACCCGGCACAAAACGTTGAGGGTGGGATGTGGGTTCTAGTCTTCGCGGGCTCAGAGAACCAATGCCTGAGGCAAGAGTGAGATCAATGTCTAGAATACGGTTTGGAGGGCATTCTGTGCCATAACCAACGAGAAAAGTATATCAGGAGATACCAGTGACAATTATTCCGACCCTTAGACTAGTCCCTGTGTGTGTAGTTCCTATTCAGGATGTGGGCCTTGGTCTCTGGGATTCTGAAGCCCAACCTTCAAGCTCCCACTGCAGCCAACAGCCACTTCACCAGGCTGGTGCAAGAGTAGGGCTTAAGGTTTAGGGTTTAGGGGGGTTAGGGGTTAGGGTTTAGGGCCTTGGGGCCTTAGGGTACCAGAGGAACGCGAGCAAGTCATGGGCATAGGCGGTGTAGGTTTCTGATGTGCCAGGGGCGAATTGCCCCAGTAACCCCTTCAAAACGTTTAACCACCCCTTCACCCCCCTATCGTAGGCCTCACACTTGGCTGAACAACACAGCTTTGCTGTGCCAACATGCGTGCAAGCTGCCTCTCGCCATTGTCATTTCCTTGGCACATGAGGTGCGTCTTTATTGCGAATACCCCCGTAGTAACACCCCAAGTCCCAAAATATACACGACACTCACCAACGTTTCAATAATCATAGGGACTATACTTCCTCCAATAAGCCTTATTAGTTATTAAGCCCTTATTATAGGTTTAACCCCCTCCCCCCCACCCCCCCTAAGGGTCCTTATGAAATAACATCTCCAGGGAGCCCTAGCCTCACTCACCGAATCCCCTTTATGATTATAATGGAACCTCTACTTCGACTTCATATGCGCATGAGGCTGGGAGGCTCCCCAAGCTCAAAACCACAAACTTGCAGTCCCAAACTTCGTCACTGCAATAAAATGAGGGGCCTTCTAGTTAGAGTAAGGCTCCTTCTAAGGGTCCTATAAGGGATCCATAATAAGGTTCTATGATACAGGGGCCTTAGCCTTAGAATAATCAGAATAGGGTTTTGGGGGCCCCGTATACTATAATTTTGAGAAGGAACCCCAAAATAGCCTTGGTCACTATTTTTCCGGCCCCTTTAGTAATTCCTCTAAGATTGGCCCCTTCTAGAAGGGCTCGACTTCGTCTTCGAACACCCCTCACACCCTCACGCCCCGAGACGCATCGAAAAGACCCAAAACCGCGAAACTCCTGAAACCCTCAAACCGGGAATGAAGTCGACGACGTGCTTGAGGGCTGGAGTCATTGAGAGGTTTCGGGCTTGAGGCTTTGGGTATTTCTTAGAAGGGGCCCCCACCCTGTAATAGTGGTATAATAGATATATAATAGGGCCCTAATATAATCCTGATAGTCACTATTACAGGGTGGAGGCCCCTTCTAAGGTATTTCAGTCGCTTGGAGCGAATCTCAGCATTGGCACTGCAATCCAAAAGCTGGTCTATTCGACGTCAAGAGATACCCAAATGGGAGTTTCCGAAAACAGGGAACCCGAATATAGCACCCGAAGTAGTAGGATCCTTATTATAAGGACCCCACGATAAGGTACCCCTGATTTTAGGAAACTCTCAAATACTCCTGATAGTGCACCACGCCCATCTCCCACAAACACTCTTCCGAAATATAGTCTCAAGCCTTACAAAACTTCACGACCCTCAAATCCTAAAGCCACAAATACCATGACACCGTACAGCCTTATGAAAAAGACTTCCAAACCCCAACCATTAATGCACCATAGAATCCCTACAAGCCCCTGTGCTGACGTGACAAACTCTGAGGAAGACATCTTCCAACATTGAAACCACGCCGCGTCCGGGCTTTCTTTATATAAGGTCGAACTTTGTTGTCGTACTACTAAGACTTGGGTTTGGGTGGTATACTATTATCGTCTACTGAATGAGGACCTCTCAAGGGACTCTACTCGTAAATAATATTATCCAAACTCTACATGACGAAATTCCGCTGTTGTCGGCTTTCGGCTGTTGGCTTCCGGTTTGAGGCTAAGAGCCCTACGAGTTCGCGGTTTAGGTCGCCGAGGATCAGAAATCCGGATCCATGTAGGAACCTGATAAAGAAACCTTGGGTCTTTAATTAGGTTCTGAATATGTGTCCTACGGTAGTATTTAGGGAGGTTATAGGCCCAGGGTTTCTTAATCAGGTTGCTACGAATTAAATTAGCTTCGTAGAGGCTAAAGCCACGGCTTGGATCTGGGGGCCATGTTTCATCTTCCGTCGAGCCCTCGACACGCTGCACATCCCGCCCCAAAGACAGCTACTATTCCGGCCAGCTTCGAGTGAAAGTAGACCCTAAACCCTAAACCCCTGAACCCAGGCGTCTTGGCTTACAGCGGGTAGTTTTCTCCCAGGGGATCCCCGCTACGGCTATTGACCCTGCGTGGTTCTCGGCGAACCCGCGCGATAGCACCGAGAGCCTCCGACGGCCGGTGCTCTTTTCGAACAGGTGGCCCGCTGTACGCTCGGCGAGGCGGCCATCCTCCTCTGGCCTTCTCTTTGAGAAGCTGCCTCTACAGGACTTTTGGTCCTATTTTGATCTCGCTGCCCGACCTCGTCGCTGGCAGCTGATCCCTACCCTGTACGCTTAGCGAGGGGTGTATGAACCGAGGCTGGGCTTTTTCTCTTCTGACCTGGTCGGTTATTTCCTACGGCGGCTTTCCGACAGAGGATTGGCGAGCCCGCGGCGCACCGGAAGCTGCGAAGAATCCGTACGAAGGCGAGGACGCTTCTGCGGACAGTGGTGGTTGGAGCGACCTCGGCTTTCCATCCGAGGGTCCCTACAGCCATAGCCGCCTTACGTGGACACCACTCCCTCTCTCACCTGCCAGCACAGGTGGAGGCTATTCGACAACAAGCGATGTCCTGGCAGTGCCAAAGTTGTTGGCAGTGGGCGAAGG